CTGTTTGTGTAGCCAAAGTTGTGTGGTATCACCTTCTGACCACACTGAGGAAAAAGAAAGGAACAGAGAGATTTCGACCTCCGTTCCAAACCATACTAATAGCGGAAGGTGAAGTTTGGGGGCGCGTCCCAGACGCTGTCTCAGAACAAAGGATCTCGTAAATAAGAAGGAAGAAAAACCAGCCTCGGCTGTGGTTTGGCCACAGATAATTCAAGCATGGACAATCTGCAGGCAGAGACTGAATAAGCTAGTTTGCTCCCTCCTCGAGCGCCGGCTTTAGCGAATCAAAGATCCTGGGCTCAGAACGAAAATGCAAGTCGGAAAGCAAAAGTTTGCAAGAGAAAGGCCTTGGTCATTCTTCCCCTCCCAATGCTTTGTCAGTGTGTGGCTCACCCACAATGCAACTTTGTGTGCTGGAAGGGTGCTGCATTGTACCATCCTGGCCCCGATGGAGCTGTTTCCTTCAGGCCCTTCCCCCCTCCCCACCCCCAGGAGAGACACATGAAAGAGAATCATCATCTAATCCTCCTCGCTATCAAGAAGAGTGATTCAATGACATCCTCTGCCCAGAAATAAACACAGCCAGTGCGCGGGCTTGGGAGTTTTTTTCTTTCGTTTTTAACAATGGTCCCCTGTGCAGCATCAGCTCAGGAACTTGGTGCGTGCAAGTGTGTATGTCTGTGTGTGTGTGTATACAAGAGGGAGCACAGGCCAAACAGTTTTTCCAATGGCATGGAAAGGTGCTCTCAAACATTCAGATGATTCCAGGCACAGGCACATGAACGCAGAACAGCAATCCCCACTAAGAGGTTATGATCTGGGTTTGTTCATTGATTTGTTCGATTTGGCATCACCTGACTCCAGAATGACTCGGGGCATAATATAACAAACAGAATAAAAATAGATAGTATGAATAGGAACAAGGTAAGAAGGAACAAAAAATAGGCGAAAAAGGAAAGAAGATGGTGTGATGGCTTAGGACAGTGTTGTCCAAACTTGGCCACTTTAAGATGAGTGGACTTCAACTCC